TGTGGCATATCAATGCAGTGGAATTATTTGTGTCAGTAGCAATTATATTAGTAACTTTATTTGTATTTTATATTACAACATAAACTGTTGTCAAGCATGTTCTCTACAGTATGAAAACAAGACAGAATGTTCCTTTAATAAGGACAAGATGTGTAAATATGTATTGAGAGTACAGTCAGAAGGTTTGGGGCTGTGACTGCAGCCATGTTTCATCTTTAGCCTTCAACTTTGAAATGGACAGGGGCTTCATCCCGAGGATCTCAAACTTCACACCAGCTCAGAGTGATGTTAGTAGTCTAAGAACTGTGAGAGACACAGTGCCTTTTAAGTGTTACTTTCATACAAAACCCGTCTTCTTAGAATGAAACACTCACCCCCCTTTATGCTCTTTATTTTTTACACACATACATATACGCATGAACTTTGAGCAAGTGGATTTTAGAAGTGGTTTGTAATGGGCAACACATTCAGGGACATAATCTAGCCTTTACCTTAAAACTCTAACTTGCAATTGGGAGTGGTAACTATGGCTGTGCAATTAATCTTATTTAATCTCGACTACAATTTTGGCTTGCAACGATTATGAAAACAACGTAATCGAAATAAAACGATTATTTTTGCTGCATTCCCTTTCTAAAGCCCCTGTGTCACACTGTCCCGAAATTGACACCAGATGGACACACGATAAAGGAAATGTTCAAATTCGGCTTTGATCGTAGCAACATCGGGCCATTCGTGAGGGCATCTTAAGCCATCGTATGACCGCCGGTGGAGTTTCTCAGGCTCCGGCAGCAACTTCGTGAGCGGTGGAAAAATCTTTGGCATGCCAACAAATTGCTGAAGGACCTTTTGAAGGTTCATTTTTTCGTGTTGAATTTGTGGGTCCATTTTGCCCTTCGTAAGGCCATCGTGAGGGCATCTTGTCAAATCCTGTCATCTTCGTCTTTACTTCGTGTGATCATCGGTGCCATACGAAGGAAACAAGAAGCTGCCCGATTGTTTATGCTGTTGACAGGAAGATGTTGTTGCTATGGAAACAACATGATGGAGATAAGTAATATCTTCTAATCTACATATAAAGACAGAGAAAGTAAAGAAGTTTACATGTTAGCACCCCCCGAAGAGGCACAAGCTCTTACGTTGAGGTCTGGATACATTCTAAATCATCAGTAAGGTCTACGACCATATTTTTTGTGTGTGGCTCGGCTGCCATCGTGTGGCCTTCTGTAGGCATCGTATTTGCTTCGGCTGTTGACCAAGTTCGGGGCCATCTTCGTGTGAAATTCACAATTCCATATGCGTGTGTCCATCTGGTGTCAATTTCGGGACATGTGTGACAGGGGCTTTAATGATGCTCTCAACTTGTCTTGCGTTATATATCCTGACGCGCGTGCACTTTTTGCCCCTCCCTAAAAGCCCCTCTCGGCCAGGTTGTGTTGTGACTTGCAGTCTGTTTAATAAATCCATATAAACACGTTACAAGGGAAGCTTTAGTTGCTGTGTATTTATTCTCCGGTCTCTAGCGTACAGAGTCAGTCAAACTTTTACTGACTCGTCAAGCCGGAGCCTCTTAGCTCGCTACTTCCTTTTTCGGATAAGGGATTACCAAAATAAGAGTACTGCGTGTGTAGCAGTATAATTAAACCATTACAGGTATATGTTTAGTAGGTTGTGGAAATGCCGCTCCAAAATATTTGTTGATCTTCTTTATTGGTATTTATTATTTTTGATATTATTTATTAAATGTAGATATACATTTATAATTAGATTTTTTTATTGGTTTTTCAGTTGAATTATACTTAAAGTTAAGGGTAATCAACTGTTAAAAACATAATGTTCAAATTATTATTATTTTTTTTTAAGTTCAATAAATTGACGTTTTCAAAGTCAATGAATAATCGTATTTAATAATCGTGATATCAATATTGGCCAAAACTAATCGTGATTATGATTTTTGCCATAATCGAGCAGCCCTAGTGGTAACCAATCAAAGCCTTTATGAATCAGCATGGTGACAAAAAAACACACGCAAACCAGTGATCACAACAAAGTTTGTTGGTTGGGGAAGCTCAGCAAAGCACGCTCGGTGCACTTTCCCAGAGTTGGTTTAGCAATTCCTCTGGGAATCATACTTGAGGAGAGAGCATGTTCACAAATACTACAGTAAGTATCTGATTTGATGCAAACTGGTCAATGTACTATAAATATATTCTCCGGTAACTTTGATCTATTCCTTGTTTGTGAGCGTAGGCATTAACTTATGTGCATCTGTGTTTCATGTGCAATACTATTACATGTGCATGTGTGTGTGTATGTGTGTGCGTGTGTGTTTACTTCCAAGAGTGGGAGGCAGAGGTCCTGCCAGTTGAAACGTGATCACTCTCATATCCTTTTAATTAGAGTGTAACATATAACCCACAGCAGCCTCCTCCACCCAGAGGTATAAACTCTGCAAAAGAGACTTGACCAAGCTAAAACTTTGCTTAATGGACAGTGTGACAAATGATAGGTGTGCTTCAATCAACATCTTGTTAACAACAGTCAACTCTGCAGTAGAAGCATTTTTTCTACACTAACCTGCTTTTCATCAAATCCGGAAAGGAAAGTAAGACACTGCTTTTCACACCACTGCTCAGACATTGGGCCAAAACACATCACTCACCATTGTTATTTACAAAGCAAAAAAGTAAGAGGGAAATATTTTTAGACGTGGGTAGCCATATGCAAAGACACATGATCCCCTAGTCTAATATGTCAAAATATAATTTTTCTTTGCATGACGGTAAGTAACGTGGTGACAGCTGTTGTCATGAGCTTGTCACTTTCGGAAGGACATCTTTATATAAGAACTCACCCACACATTGCTGTCAAAAGGGTCTCATCATCATAAGAATGCCTGAAGAGAGGCATGTTCAGTCTGCTGTCAGATTTTAACCCTCATACAGTATGAGCTCATACACACACACATATATATATATCAGGGTTTCCGTTAGCCGGTAACTACCTGTTTTTAGCTGGTAAACATTATTAAAAACCGGTAAATTCAAAACCTGCCGTTCAAAATGTCCGGTAATAATTAGGGATGCTCCGATCGAATGGCCGCCGATCATTATAGGCCGATATACCTCTTAATAGTTTGATCGGTGCACTCTATTAAGGCCGATCAGGAGAGCTGGATCTGATCGAGATGGACATAAACGCGAGTGAAGTGTAACCGGACGCAAGAGATCAGATCAGCTGCTGAGTCTGACGGAGACACGCAGCTCTGCATGATCACCTGAAGCCCCGCCCACTGTTTAGCGAGCTGCATGAGAAACTGAAGGGCTGTCGAGAGAGAGAGGGAGGGGAGGGGAAAAGAGAGGATCCGTTTATCCCGTTTATTATCCAAAGTTAATGTATAACTTTTGAATAATGTACTTTATCTACTATAAAATAGTTTGTTTGAATGTAATAATTATGTTGTTTGTTGTTTGGGGAAGCGCATCATTTATCGAAAAGTGAATCTGAAACTTTTCGATCTGTTATGATTATAACTGAAGCAATATAAAAATGAGCCCCATTAACTGAGTTTTTTAAACATCAGCATATCCGGTCATAGTCCGGTAATTACCTGCTAACGGAAACTCTGCTACACCATTCTTATTATTATTATTGAAACATGACCGGTAAGTTTCAAATTTGGTCCGGTAAAATAAATTATTCCGGACATTTGACCGGCGAGAAAAAATCCTAGCGGAAACCCTGATATATATATATATTAGGGATGCACGATAATTATCGGCCCGATAATTATCGGTCCGATATTAGGAATTATGACGTCATCCCGATAAACCCGATACCAGTATTAATAGCCCCGATAATATACAATATATTTTTTGGGTAAAAAAAAAAGAAAAAAATACTGCGGTGTGGGTGGATTGGGATGAGGGGCGCTTGTTTTTCACTCGGCTCCTCCCGTTTTGCCAGTACTGTGATATTAGTGGTTTAGGAAGAGGGGAGTTCTTCACAAATCCAGCGCTCCCTAACTCATGCCTGGCTGTGACGTAAATGGTGTGCGGCCGTGAAGCCAGGACAGTAAACAAACATGTCGTCGGTGGTCATGGGCGTTGGAGCTATGTGCAACTCAAGGCATATGCTCGAACCGGAGCTGCCTGGACGCTGCAATCATGTGCGCACTATCCGTGCTGAGTGTGCTGACTTTTCGTACAATGTCCCACTGTCTGGCTTCCTGCATAAAGTCAAGTGCTCGGCGCAGTTGTGGCGAAATGTCGCTCCTCTGTTTTCATTTAAACAGCTCCTTATATCCGTTAGCGCAGCTAGCTAGCACCAGATGCTAACAACAACAATGCACGTAAGGTCTCTCTCTCGCTCGCTCGGGCCACACATACACACACCCTCCCGGTCCTCCAGATGGCCAGTCGCTGCCTGCCGGTGAGCGTGGAAGTGTGGTCTGCCACAAGCGGGCGGCAGGAGCGGGGCTGTCAGCATCAGCTTGTAGATGGTATTTTAAACTCGATGCGCTCTGAAACTACGGGGCGGCCAAGGAAAAAAAATACACATGCGTTAAAATAATTAGTGGCGTAACATTTTTTTTATTATCGGTATCGGTCTTGAGAAGCAGGAAGTTATCGGTATCGGTTTCAAAAAACCAATATCGTGCATCCCTAATATATATAGATTCATTTTTGACTTCAGAATTCAATCTCTCTCTCTCACACACACACATTTTCACAATGTAATCAGTGACAAACACTTGAGCTGTCCTCATCCACTAGATTGCAGACAAGAGGTGTCCGTCTTGAAGAGACAACAAACTCATCACAGCTATAAATACAATATGATGATGGTGACCTACAACTCCTTCGAAGTCAAGTGAAGGCTTTTGCTCAAGAGGTGAAGGAGGCTGAATACTTAAAGCTCCCCCCATTAACAAATGAACAAATGCAAGAAAACGTTTGAAGAGCCAAACTGAGGAAGGCAGATACTGAAACATGTCTTACCTCGTGGTCGTAGGGGTTGTAAGAGTGGAAGAGTTGAGACAGCTCTTTAGTCCTCTGCTTTTTCTGTTGACAACAAAGAGAGAAAAAGAAATGTAATAAATACAAAAACATATAATGTATATATATTACAGTTTAAAGAACAATGTAAAAAGCTGGTGCATGATGTAGATGAAGTATAAAGACAAATACCCAAATCCCATTCATCTAGATTGGGAAAGTATTCCATTCATACTATAAGTGATGACACAATCTGCTCGGCATTGTGACTTCTTGGCTTACTTGTTTGTATGGACTTGAAGCCAAAATCAGACCCTGTACATAACACTTGACCTGAGTAGTTGTTTTAGTATCAGAAATGTTGTAACATCAAGATATATTTAGTAATCCTCCCTAAAAAGGTAATTCATTCACAGCATTCATTCAGTATGGCTACACTATCTAATTTAAATGTATTCTGTATTGCACGGTGGAGCATGGGAGAAAACGAATAACCTGTCAGAGATCTTGATCAGAATTTAAATAGTTATATATCTATTTTTTCCGAACATTTTCCTATCATCACTGATGAAAATACTTAAACAAACTCATCAGCAATTGTTGACGAGGATTAAGCCTTTTTTAGTAGCTATAAATCAGCTATTTTGTTGCTTGGCATTTCCTCTTTCATGTCTTGCAGATATGATTAATAAATAAACAATACATAGTTATACATATGGACACACCACAGTTTTTAGGTAACTTAAACAGAAGGGGAAAAAATCATTATTGCTGAGAATAATGCCTACAAGTATTCATTAAATCTATCAAATATGGAAGCGCAGAGGGAAAAAAATGTATATGCCACCAGCTGTGTCAGAATATATTTATAGTTTTCTCCTTTGACTCCCGCTCAAAGTCTGGCCTTACCTTGCGTTGTCCTCTTAATTGTGTAATGAGATGCACAAGCGTGAGACCTGACTGTTTGATGTGTGGCGTTGTTAATGCAATCAGTTACATGAGGCCGATGCAGTTACCAAAGAGAGTGCTAATTAGCTCGCTGATTAGGCCATGTTGTCTTCTAAGGGGGATAGGATATAATGTATACGCTACTGTAGCTAAGGGACTGTGCATTCATTGCTATGCTCTATTCTCTCCCTCCCTTCCTCTTTTCAGTTGTATGCAAAGGGCGGCATTCAATGTACTCAGGCCAGATCTGTACATATGGAGCAGACAATCTACAAGTCGCTCTGCTATCACACTCAGGCATCATTATAGCTTGGACAGTCAAATGCAGCGAGAGGATGTTAAAAAAGAAAAGGATGGAAACATCTATTAATACATAGAGGCGTGTGGCCAAGCTGGAAAAAGATGGACATAGTTTCAAAAGTTACCGTGAAATTACACGACAGGCTGTGCTAATGTCGTTATCAACAGTAAAAGTGGAAAGGATAAGTTAGTTAGTGCAGAGAACGCAGCTGCACGTCTTCTAACTGGCCATAAAAAGCGTTGACCACATCACCCCCAATTCTAGCCTCATTGCACTGGCTTCCAGTTCGGTTCAGAATAGATTTTAAAATCCTTTTATTTGTTTTCAAAAACCCTAAATGGGCTGGCTCCGGCCTATGTAGCCGAACTCCTCCATCGCTACACCCCCGGCAGAGCCTTAAAGAGCCTGTGACAGCCTCCCAACAACTGTTGTGCAATGAAATATGGGCTACTAGTCATCTCGAACCGTCAGTTTAAAAAAAGAAGTTGAGATACCGTTCCGATAAATATCAATAATTTCGAACATCGCGGGGAAATTCCTTCGACTCATTTTGAAGTTTTGGGGGAAGCCGGAAGTGACGTCTATGCGGGAACGCTTCACTGTGCGGCGAAGAGAGCCAAAACACGGACAAAGTGTGTTGTCATGCGTAGAAATGGTGAATTACTGAGTTTAGGCACGTTAATAACGTTTTAATGAAGTTGACTACAGTATATTCATATTTGTCAGTGCTTTCATGTCAATTCGGTGAACATAAACATACATGATCGTGGTGAAGATGATGATTAAATTAGGATAAAAAATCGGTAGTGAGAGCTGCTGAATTTCCTCCCGTCGGATGTGATATAAAACAAATCGATTATTTTTGTAGTTGTAAACTCAAGTGGATTAAACTACATTTATTAGTGCTTTCATGTCAATTCGGCGAACATATGATACATTAAATGATCGTGAGGAGGATGATTTAAAAATCGTTTGTTTGTGCCGGTCTGCATTTCCTGATGAGAAAACAAACCGATGCTTTTTGTAGTTGTAGTACACCAACATGGATTAACGTGTGTTTTTTTTACCACAATGTTGGGGAAAATTAATGGATAAAATGCTACGGATTATTATTATTATTATTATTATTGTTATTCCTACTCCGATCGGGACACTAGGTTCCACCGTTTCCCCGCAGCGAGGCTCCCCCCGTTGACAGTTTACGTGGGCTGGGCTAGGTGCAGTGGCGGACTGGCCATCGGAGCTGGTACCGAAGTGGGCCGGTCAGATAAGTCACTAGCAATCCCCCACTCCCCCCGTTGACAATTTTACTAGCGGTACCGAAGTGGGCCGGTCGAGAGTCCCGGGATGATTTTAGTCCCAGTCCACCACTGGCTACATGACCGTATGATCGCCCTATATTGATGCACCTAATTCCTAAACTTCTAACAGATACAACATAAACCGATCCTTTAGCCTCATATTGAGCTCTCAGACACGTTCAAAATTAAACTCTCATCGCTGTCTGAGCTTGCTGCTGTGTGCGCCATCGTGCGTTTACATTGCAGATGCTGGGATCCTGAACGGTGCAGCTGGAGCGCTGTGCCCGCAATGACGTCACCACCTCATTTGGCGGGACTTGAAGAATCCCCCGAGAAGATCCAGAAAAATGGTCAACATTGAAGGGCAGAGATTAATGGTTATCAAAGTACAAATATCCAAAATCAGTTCAGTAACGATTTTCAAGGGGACAATATTTACTCAAATTGATGGGTTTGGATGATGGGGGAAACTCGTGTCACAGGCTCTTTAAGGTCGGCTGATCAGCTGTTGTTGATAGTGCCTGAGACCATGCTAAAAACCAGAGGGTACCGAGCATTCGCAGCAGCGGGCCCCAGGCTCTGGAATATTTTGCCCTTCCATGTGAGGTCGGCCCAGACCCTGGGGTTTTTTAAATCAACACTTAAAACTCACTTTTTCTCTCTGGCCTTTTAGGCTTCTCTTATCAAGAATAACTTTTACCCAAGACCTTTTCCCTCTCTAACCTCTCGAGTTTTATTAGAGGGAAACGGTTTGTAGAGTGGCTTAGACAGGCCGGGAGTGTTACAATTCGTAGACACAGCGTACCGCCCTATCTCTCATCAATTTCCAACTAAGGCTCCAGTGGGGACCTTGTTCCCTGAGTGTGCCTCTCCACCTATGTTTCTTACTCTCTTACTTGCTACCCTTTGCCCTTAACTGATTCTAAGGGAGTGCTTGTTCTTCCGTCTGTCTGTCTGTGTATTCTCTTGTTCCGATTAACCCAGCCACATTTTTTCTTGTTTTGTGTCTATATCTACGCCGGGATCCGGAGTCGAGGCTGATCCTGCTGTAGTCCTGTGTCTTGGATCCTCTATCCTGAGTTCTGGATTAAGTCGTGGACTTCGGGTCGTGGCTGAACCTGTCTCTGCGGTCCTGCTGCTTCCCTGATGGCTCCCACAGGATTGTAGTTGACATCTTCGTAGATTCATTTTCTTATTACAGACACATGCATTTCCTAACATTTGGACTACCTATGTTGTAAATGTATTATCTCTTCGATTTACACACGGCATCTATTGCACGTCTGTCCGTCCTGGGAGAGGGATCCCTCCTCTGTTGCTCTCCCTGAGGTTTCTCCCATTTTTTCCCTTAAACTGTGGGTTTTTCTCTGGAAGTTTTTCCTTGTACGATGTGAGGGTCTAAGGATAGAGGGTGTCGTTTTTCTCATACTGATATTCTGAACAATCTGTGCTGTTGTATTTGCTGTAAAGTGTCTCTACTGTAGGCTATTTTTTTTTTATATGTACAGCACTTTGGCTCGACCAAAAATTGTTTATAAATGTGCTATATAAATAAAACTTGATTTGATTTGATAAGGTACAAAAACAAGTGCCACAGAGCAGCGGGTAAGAGAATAACAAATAAATAAATAATAATGGAGAAACATGAGGAAAAGACAGTAAAAAACGTATCGGTGTAGAAGTATGTAATGGTGGAGAGTAGACTCTTTGCCATCGGCCAACTTCCACTTTGACTTTCTCAGTTGTTCTTCGTCTCTAGTAGTGAGAACACACTTCTCATCACTCCTCACCCTCCTCTCTATTCCCTCCGTCTGTGTACCGCTTCACATTTTTTTCTTCCCCCCCTTTTCTACGCATCTTACTCTTCTCTGTTCAACCAGGGCCCTTGTGATCCACACAATCCTGTAATCATCGGCCCTGTCCGTCTACCATCCTCTTCTTGTTTTCACCTGATTCCCTCTTGCTCTCTCTGCCAAAAGGCTCTCCAGAATCTCAAAATCCTCTTTTCTTTCATTTTCTTTGCCTTTCCGCTTATCCCTCCGGGCTCTGCCTCTCCCTCGCTCCCTGTGCTTCTCTCCGGTGAGGGAAAACTCTCACTAATCATTCTCCACTCTCTCACCCATCCTCCCCCTTATAAGTATGTCCCTCCACATTCTCTCTCTGCCTGGAGCACCTTAGGTGAGAGAATCTCTCTTATCACTGCTCCTCAACACCATTCTCTTCCTCCTTCCATCCCTTCATCACTCTCACCATCATCCAGTATACTTTGATGCTCAACTGTGTGTGTGTGTGTGTGTGTGTGTGTGTGTGTGTGTGTGTGTGTGTGTGTGTGTGTGTGTGTGTGTGTGTGTGTGTGTGTGTGTGTGTGTGTGTGTGTGTGTGTGCATATGTGTGTTACTGTAAGGCAGAACTACAGGAAATATTTTTTCAGGCACCAATGAGCTCCCAGTAGAATTTAGCCATCACACACACATACACGCACGCCTACAAAAACACACACACTACAGGCACACTCA